GTGGTGTGTGTTTGTCGGTGGCCTCTGGTGGGGTGGCCTCAAAATACAACGTGTTGACCATAACGCAAGTTGATTTCGACGTCATGCTGGGGGATCCTCAGTACAATCAGTGGTTTCGGGACAATCTGCGTTGTGACCAGGCTGCGTTTCATCGTTTTGTGGAGTGGTTGCGCCAACATTTACCTCAAATCAATCAACATCGTTCTCCCCATTCCTTCGAGAAGAAAGCTGCTGTGTTGTTGTACTTCTTGGGCTCAGAAGGTGGTTATCGTGAGACATCTGCAGCGTTTGGCATGGCAAAGACGTGGTGTATTGAGGTGGTGACATTAATTGTGCTTGCTGTCTCTAAAAATGCTCAACAATGGATTCGCTTGCCGTCCAGCAATCATGAGTGGCAATTCATTGAACGTGGATTTTACAAATGCCAAAACCTCCGTGGCGTCGTTGGTGCAGTGGATGGGACCCTTATTGACATTCAAAGACCAGGGGATTATGATGGTTTTTACAACAGAAATGGGGTCCTCTCTTTAAACATCCAAGCACTGGTGAATCATCGTATGGTGTTTTTGTCCGTGGATATTCGACTGGGGTCATTTTCAGACAAGAAAATTTGGAAAGTGTCAAAACTGGGGCAAACAATTCGACGTGAAATACCAACTGGCTGTCATATAATTGGGGACTCTGGATACAATTTGCAGCCTTGGCTATTGACACCGTATATGCCGTACGAAGAAGATGGGGCATTGTCCAAAATTCAAAGGCAATTTAACTACCGATTGTCGAGCACACGTATGCCTGTCGAATGCGCCTTTGTTTAAAGGAACGGTTCCGAATCGCTGGACCACACAGTTGCCATCACGACATGCTGCTTTGTTTTGCACAACATGTTCATTCACTTCAATGATGGCCTTTTCTCTCAGCCGTCGCGTCGCCGCGATCGTAACCTGTATGTTCAACCCAATGACAAACAAGACACAGAAACAAAATCCATTTATTCGTCGCACTGCTCAAGCCAAACGAAGTGGAATAGCCAAGACTTACAGTTAAAGCAATATCAATGTGAGTTTGGCAATTGTAAAATTTAACAATGAGATTTTGACACTTGTAATGCTACTTCGACAATGACACATAGACATTGCGACTTCAACAATGAGACTTTGACAATTAGAATTCGAAAATTGTAAACTGTATTTACTTATCCTTTTGAGCCACCAAATGGCTTAAGAGCTCGCCATCGTGTCTGACTGTCCCTGAATCGCACGCAAGACATCGTCCAACGTTGCTCCCGATGGTGGAGCAGGCGATGGAGCCTGCGTCGCTGCCATGGATGTTCACAAGTGGATCAATCCATCTTTGATGGCCATAAGGCCAGCTTCAAAAGCCTCACTGTGGCTTTTCGGTTTCGCTGCCTTTAATTTTTTTGGAGGTCGTGCGAACGACTTGTCGGTTTCAGAATCCGACTTCAACTCTTGTCCTTGCTTGATTTCATTTTCTATGAATATATTTCCATTGCAATAAAAACAAAAATATATATCTGATATGCCACCAAGAGTTTTACTGGGCTCGACCAATGCTTCGTCCGTTGACATCAATGACTCTCGCTGGAAGCCTTTTTTGTTGCTCCAAAATTCCATCATAGCGTCGTAGTGCAGTGGCAATGCACTAGCTGGACCATTGCCAGTCTCGCTGGGACTCCAAGATTTCGTCAATGCCCATGCGGCCTTCATTTTCAAGAACTATAAAGCGAAAATATACAATATTTTATGGGAGTTTATACAGATATAACAAGTTACCTTGTCTTGTACTTGAGTAACGGAAAACTCTTTCTCCGTCGACATGCTCAACTCCACTTCTCGGCGTTGTTTTTCGAGTCGAAACGCTTGGCCAACTGCGACTTGTACCGAAGTCGGAACAATTCATTGACACTCTCGTCGTCCCAAAGCGAGCCTCGCTTTGGGGTGTCGACCGACGTGCGCTTTGCGCGTCTGGCGTTGTTGGCCTTTGGCGTTAGTTGCGCTATGTATCTGAGTGTCAGCATACATTGAAAGTAGACATTGTAGTGAATACCATGGGTTTCTACATCATGCGTGTGAGCGTCGTCGTCATCATCACTCATGGGTCAGTCTGCAAATTGACTGTAAAGCAGGAATGGCTGGTACAGGGCAGGAACGCCACATCCCTGCCTCAAACCAAATTGTCAGGCAGGAACGTTATGCGGATTTCGGATAAATTGACCAATCAAATTGATTTTATCGCAGCCTGAATTTCATAAAGCTGGAATGGATTATTCAGCGGCCAGGCTCTTAGGACAATGCAAACGTCGGGCAACATCCGGATAAGAGGATTTTCCACAGTCGACGTTGCAACATTGACGTTTTTCTGAAAATCGTGGGGAGGTATACTGGACAGAGTTGAAGGCCAATTTTACCAGTCAGGGCAGTATTATTTGGTAAATTATTTAAATATATTTGTAGACAATATTTATAATATTCCAATTTTATACTACATTTTTAATTAAACCTCCGTTAACTAAAATAATTACAACTTCAAAATTTCTTTCGATTTATATTGAATTGTTTTATTTCTTTTTGCTAAATAGCCATTCAGATTTTTGAAAAGAAATTGAAAGAGAATCTGTAATACAGTGCGCGCCAGGTGGATAAAGCCACCCTATTATTCAAGAGAAAAATCCCGCCAATCACGAGTTCTGTTCCACAAAATGCACCAGTGTTACGAGCACGATTGGTTGAGTTATCACATAGAATTTACGGTCAATTGGTTGAGTTGAGCGTTGTAGACTGCAACAAGAACGATTTTTGACCGCGCCAGGGAAATAAAGCCACTTGCAATTCAGACCCCAAGCAGCAACTACACCCCACGCACAGCTAACAGACTTTTATCACGTGATTGGTAAGCACTTTTACACACAAATACACCTCGATAACGAACAATATCAATGCCATAGGATGGGTAGAGATGCTCAACTTTCTCTTGCTGAAAAAGGCGCCATTTTGGCCTTCTGCAAGACCGGATACTCCAACCGGGCCATTGCACGCGAGCTTGGAAGGTCCAAGGACGTCGTGAGATGTTGTTTACGCGACCCAGAGACCTACGGCACGAGATACAACGGCATGAAGCCAAAAATACTCGTTGGAAGTGCGTGCCGACTTTTGCTGCGGGGAGCCTCCAAGATCGGATCATCCGCGCGACTGCTCAATACCACCCTGAATTTGGACGCCTCACTCCGAACCTGCCAACGGCGTTTGCAACAAAGTCCAAATCTCAATTACGAGAAGCGAAAGCACATGCCAAACCTCCAAGCCAAGCACAAGATCGCGCGGGTGGAGTATGCCAAGCGCCACCTCCGTGAGTCAACCAATTGGACTGAAACCATCTGGTCCGACGAGAAGAAGTTCAATCTCGATGGACCGGATGGGTTTCAGTCCTATTGGCATGACTTACGGAAGGAGCCTGACACCTTCTTGACACACCAAAAGGGTGGTGATGGCGTCATGGTGCGGGGCTCGTTTTCGTCGAAAGGGTTGTCGGATTTGGCCTTCTTGGAAGGCAACCAAAAGGCCGACGGTTACGTCGAAACGTTGGAGAACTATTTGCTTCCGTTGGTCATTGCCACTACGGCCCCAGCTTTACGTTTATGCAAGATGGGGCGTCAATCCATCGTGCGAAGGCCACCATGGCCTGCTTCGCGGAGAATGGGGTGGACATTATTGACCACCCATCCCTTTCTCTCGACCTAAATCCAATTGAAAACTTGTGGGGGGTCCTAGCACGTTCAGTTTATGCGAACGGACGTCAATTTATGGCACTGAATGACCTCGTCGAGGCTATCAAACGTGCATGGGCTGGCTTGAGTCAATGTTATCTCGACAAGTTGATTCGATCGATACAAGACCGTTGTATTGACGTTGTAGTAGCTAAAGGAGGTAAAATA